CATTATAGAGTTGACTGGGACAAACAGAAGATAAGTTAAAACTTGGAAAAATCAATGTATCATTATCAGAGAAATTGTTAGCAAAGTAATTATTGAAGCATTGTGTCTTTTCGAAATCGATGGTAGCAACTATTTTATTGTAAACTATTTCAGGAATGAGGTTTTTTTATAGGTTTTTTTGATTTTATGTATAAAAAAAAGATTTAGGATTTTTATTGACATTTTTAGCAATTTCTTTTTTGAAATTTATTATAGCATTTCTGCAAGCTGCTTTAGTTCTGTTAAATGCTTGGCAATAATCATCGTTTATGAATAGTCTTGATATTTGTTTGTTTCTTATTTCTTCTGCTACCTGGACGGTTATCTATTGTGAATGCTTTTTAGTTTTTGTTGAGGATTTTGAAACATTTTTTTTAACAGTATTTTTAAAGTTTGTATAGGATATATCCACTAAGTTGTTCTGAGTTATAATTTTGATTTAATACTAAGGTTGATTTAATACTAAGGTTGATTTAATACTAAGGTTGATTTAATACTAAGGTTGATTTAATACTAAGGTTGATTTAATACTAAGGTTGATTTAATACTAAGGTTGATTTAATACTAAGGTTGATTTAATACTAAGGTTGATTTAATACTAAGGTTGACAGATCTTTATTATTGTTATTATAGTTTCCTTTAGAGAATAGTTTATAAGTAGTATAAGTTGGTTTATCAATTGATTCGATTATTAAGGCAAAGTATAAATCAACTAATTGATTCTGACGCAATTGTATCAAAGCTAACCAATGACGCTTTTAAAGGGATCCCTAAGTGCTCCTAACATATGATCTCATATGAAAGAGCATAAAAAAAAAATATGTAAGTTTTTTTTCTTTTTCACTAAATTGTAATAATAAATGCATGCTAACAAAAAGCAATTGCCGAAATCACTAAAAAACAACTCCATTTTGATTTTATTTTTTCACCATTGAAACTCGATTGTTAGTCGTTAAAAATCACGTTAGTACGTCACAACAACTATAAAATATCTACTTCGATTTTCAAGTAAAAAAAAGTCGTGATTAAATAGTTAAGTTTTTTTAATTAGTTTTGCAAAAACATAATAGCATTCGGTTGAAAGACGTCGTTAAAAAAAAGTTATCAAGTAATAGTTTTAAATAGTTTAGAACTTATAAAAAAGTCTTACAGGGCTCGTATTAAGCGTATCGCGATCGCGATTGCTACACACACTTTTGTGATTAGTTTTTTCTTATAAGAAAATCTTTTCGCGACTGTTTTTTTTTTTGGTTGATTAATTACTTTTTTTCTAGCTTAGCATTTTTTTTTTAGCAATTCTTAAAAGTAATGTTTTTATCATAAAGAACGTCACACAAAATTTATTATTCTGAATAGATGAATTCATGCTCTTTCGCGCGGAGATTTTCTTTCAACGTAAAACATTTTTGAATTTAAATTACTTTAAATCTCTGCGTGGAAAATTTTTACAAGGTCGTTAAAGCGAAAAGTTGAAAAGTTGGTTTTTATCTTTGTTTAAACTTCATGTTTAAAATAAGGCTTAAAAGCGTTAGAGCAAAAAAATTACTGACTTTTATTTGCATTTTTATACTGTTTGAAAAAAAAAACTAATAAAAAAGAATTAATATATAATTATTAATTAATATATTATTAGTTAATTCTTTTTTATTATTTTTTTTTTTCAATCAGTATAAAAATGCTAATAAAAACCAGCAATTTTTTTACTTTAACGTTTTTAAGCCTTATTTTAAACATGAAGTATAATTCGATTTATTAAACCAAATTTTTTTGTTTTATCTTTTATTGGAAAACTTGAAATAGAAAAATTGAATTAAAACATCAACCATTTAAATGAAAAACTTAATTATATTTAAACTTTTATTAGTCCTTTATTCATGAAACAATAAATTATAAAAAAGGTGTATCTAATTTTTTATTAAATTTTTGACGATGTTTTTTGATTTATTGACGATAAATTTTTCCCCCCATAACCGCACATCGGCTCGAGCTATAAGAGAGAGGGGGGGAGAGAGCAAAAAAAAAAATTTTTTTTTCGCGATTAGATTTTTTTGCGTTAATTCGAGCCGTGTCTTAGTTTAATTTCTAATAAAATGTCTATTCAACTTTATCAATTTGAACCAAAAAATATAGAAATTTAACATAAATGTTAATTTAACTAAAACATTTTACAATCATTATTTTTTTTATCAAGCAAAAATGAGAGTAACCGTCACTTTTGAAACCATAAAAATTACTGAAATAAATAAATTTTTTTACAAAGGAAATATTTTGAATAAACTTTCATATGTCTAAGCCAATATTCATTTGTTTTTAATTGACTAAAAAGAGTTTAAAATTTGACTTCTATTCATTTTTAGCCGTGGAATTGCCCTTATACACAAATATATAAATTATTTAAAAAAATTTAATATACAAATATATTTTCACAAAATGCTACAAAACTTATTCTTGTAAGTATGTGTTAGTTGAAAAAAAACGACTTTACTTTTAAATTTAATTACCAACTAATAAGTTTGCAATAATGACATTTTGTCTACTTTGTTTATTTTGACGTACTAACGTTAGTTTTTTGAGACAATAGAGTCAATAAACTTTGGACAAGACGCATTTTTTTTAATCGAAGAAAAGCGTTTTTTTGAAAATTAAATTTGTTAGTGTGTGTTCATTATTACGTTTTGGAAAAAATAATATACATCAAACATTTTTTTTTTTAATGCTCTTTCATATGAGATCATATCTTTATAGCACTTAGGGATCCCTTTAACGATATATGTACAAATATTGCTACACTTCTTTGACATGATTTATTATTGTGATTTGTTAGTGTTATGTAATATTTTATAGTAATTTCTTGATCATCACATGTTGATTAGCAATTAGCAAGGTAAAGTTTCAGTAAGACAAATGAGATATGATTTAAATATTTTGAACAATTATATTTAGTTCTTGGCATTTGTTCAAAATTGAATCAATGTTTGTATAAATTAGTTTTAGTGTTTTAATTTGTGAGTTACTTTTATCAGGTTTAAAGGTTAAGCATTTATTTTTTTGTTTAATATTATTTAATGTGGTTGCTGATGATGAGTTTACAATTTTGTTGCGCCTGAACATCAAAAGGGCAAATTTAGTTCATTTTCTAAAAGCTGATGGTTTCTATTCTTTTTTTTCTTTTCTTAATTCAAAATCTATTAGTCTTTTTGCTGGTGTCATCTGGGTTTAAATAAATATTTTTATAGTTGTCATTATTTCATAATTCCCTTGACATGAATAGAACTTAATTGTGTTCACAGTTTTCAGGAAGTACAGCAATAATTGGAAGTGAATTTTTAAGAAGTCTAGTTAATGTAATCGGTTTTTCATTACTTTTGCCAATATAATTAAATATTTCATTGACCATTAATTTATCATCATTAATTTATCATCATATCTGATTCATCTATTTTACTAGATTCAAGAATTCCAAAAATTTTGATATTACTTTTTCGCTTTTTTTTATTTTCTTTGTTCTAATATGATTGAATTTGCGATTGTGTTTACAACAAGAAATTTTTCTGTGGATGTGGTTTTTGTTGATATTTTCGACCGAAAATTAGCATATTTGTTTACTGTTGGTTGTTTAGCTTCAAAGAATTATATTCTTGTTATTAATTTTTTTATAGTTTCTTGCTGTTCTCGTATATCAGATAATTCTAAAAAGCTAATATTTCCTTGTTTCAACATATAGTTTAGTAATGATAAAACTATTGTTAATGTTTTTTAAACTATCGTTTATAAAGTTTAAATAGTGATTTAGCAATTTATATAATTTACATACAACAACAATAACAATAACAAATAAAAAGACTGGGTCTAGAAGTTCCAGTGTTTTTTGTTGTTGTTGTTGTAATATTAATAATTTTCATAGTAAATATAATATTTAATATAAATTAAAGTTGAATTAAATTTTTAAAAATTTTCTTACACAAAATACACACGTCTTAATTTGTTGAAAGCGAAAATTCAAAATTATTATTATACAACTTTTATTTAAAAATTTAGCACTAGAGTCCAGGCCTCTACCTTTCATAGTTTCATCAGTAGTGCTATTATAAAATTTAGCACTAGAGTCCTTTCATAGTTTCATCAGTAGTGCTATTATAAAAAATATTTTTAGAAAATTTTTATTTTTGTAAAAAGGAAATTAAGTTTATGTTGCTATAAGCTACCAGTTTTGTGTCTTTTTAAATCGAAAGTGTAATTTAAAGGTATCATGTGTAAATGATTTTCATAAGATAATAAATTTTTTTCATTTTTAAGTTCCAGAAAAACAAAATGCTGGTAAAAAAAAGTTCCATAGTTCTATTTTTGTAGGAAAGGGGGAGCATAACATAATCTAACCCTCAAGTATGTAACTAGTTGAAGTAAAAAGCTGTCTCATTTCTAACCGAGTAATATTTTTAATTTACCTGTAAAAAATGCATTTGTATACTTCAAAAGCGTTCTTAGTATAACAACAAAGTTTGTCTATTTTGCAAGTTTTACGAAGATTTTCAATAAATATAATAATATACAATAAATATACTGTAATAAGGCCAACAAAAAAAACATTTGATTTTAATTGTAAAGTATATGTAGTGAAGGCATTTTTTTTTAATTTTGGTTATATGTCCCTATCTCAATATCTTGGAAATCTGCATTATTTTTTTTTTAATTTGACTTTTTTGTTCAATAAATATGGTCTAAAATGATCAAAATTTTTTTTAGCAATTTTAATGCGTTGGTAATTTTATTTGAAGAGAGTCTCTTTAAACTGAATAACTGATGTAAATAGATATATTTACATTAGGGCTATTCAGTTTAAAGAGACTCTCTACAAATAAAATTTTATGTCTTTATATGTTATATATATATATATATATATATATATATATATATATATATATATATATATATTCACATCTTTATATATGTTTTTTTCATAGAGCAATAAAGAAGGAGTTTTCATCGTTATCTGAGAAACGTCAAACTTTGCAGGGAAAACGAAAAGCAGGGTCGTCTGATCCAGCATTTTATAGACAGTTCCCTTGTAAAAGATTCAAAATAGGTATATGTGACCTTGGCATAAACTGTAAATATTCGCATGAAAGTTCTACCAATCCAACTCAACAATCAAATTCAACAAGTGAAAACTAATTATTTTTTTTTATTTACAAGGATTCGTAACAAACTTTTTTGTTACAAATTTCTCTATCTGTAAATATTTTACATGAAATATATATTAAAATAATCATTAAGATTTTTTCATGTAATAATAAATATTGCGAGCAGTTTAATTTTGTAATTTAGGGCAAAATTTAAGACACTTTTTGAAGGAAACATTAAACATATGCTTTTGCTTTTTTTATAGAATTAAAAAAAAAATTACTTTAGAAAATGCATCGATTTTCATTCTGCATAAAATCTCTTAATGTTTCTAATACATTTTATCGAACTTTCATCGTTTCAAATCAAGGTAACCTAAGGCTTTTAGTTTTATATAGTGTATTTTATATATTTCTTTATTATTTTTATAAGTTTTTTTAATTTTATTGATTAGTCTGCACTTTTTTACTGTTTCATAAATTGTTTTTATTTCTTGTTTAGGTTTGAACAGCATGAAGATGCAAAATGAGGTGAATATACTTTTTTTAAATACATAAACAAATTTTTCGTTTTAAATTTTATTTTAATTTTATTTATTTAAAGAAACTATTGTTTTTATTTGCTATTATTTTTTAATACTTGTTTTGTACACAAAATCCCATTCTTTTATTTCCTTATTTTTTTTCAGGTGCCATTAATTAGCTATGATATATTAGTCAAAAATAGGTTAAAAAAAAGTGATGCTCGAGTAGATCCAGGAAGTATCTATAAAACTTACCCTAATGCTGAAAAGGCTTTAATTGGAAAGAATCCCAAATTGAGGTTAGTGAAATGAAAACATTCACCTTAGGGTGGGTTGCAACCATGATCTTCTATTCTACCTGAACTGCTTTCTTGCTAATACAGGGTATAGGATCTAATGTTTTTTGTAATTATTTAATGTTTTTTTTTTTGTCTTCTTTTAAACTTTTAATGTATTTAATGCTACTGTGTTATTAATCTTAAATATATATCTTTACTTATTTAACCTCAAAAGCTAGTGATGAAAACAGCATGAGGTTTTGAAGGAGGTCGCCCTGCATGAGAACAGAAAATATATTAAGTTAAAAAATTTTCATGCGTTGTAATTTTGAAATTGCTAGTATTTTGTTTTTCTAAATATTTTTAAAAAAATTAAATACTTACCCTTTACAAGAAATTTTGTTTTTAATTTAAATGTTTAAAAAAAAAAATTATTTTGAAGTATAATATGCACAAGATTTTCTATTGTTCATTGTAGTGTCCTCTGTCCTCTCCCCTTTGTGCCTTGGAATCAAAAAAAGTTGCATTGTTTATATTATAGAGAAGTTCTAAAGTTGTTTTATTAAATCTTTAAAGATGACTTTTATTACAATAGAAAACTTGCAATTGGAGAAACCATAGATGGTTGGTTTATTCAGACTCTTAAAACTTTGAATTTTGTTTTTCCTATCGACTTTTTGTTAATAAATTAAAAGCATAAATTAGTCTCTAATGAATGCAATAAATAAAGATACTTGACTGAGCCGTTAGAAATAGTATCAACAGTGTATGGATGTTATCAACAGTCGGTGGATTTTACCAACTGTCTGTGGAAATTAAAGATTAAAGACTATCAATTAATTTTTACAAGTGATTGTGTCTTAGCAAAAATGACCATGTAATTGTTAATGGCAACTAAAGTGAACTTTCAGAACACCTTAAACATACTTATAAAACACATACTTATAAAACACAACATCTTAATCAGTCATTGCCTCTGATTACCAATAAATGCCTTTTGTGTTATAGAAGAAGGTGAAAAACTGAACACTTGTGTTTATATAAACATCCTGAAGAGTCGTGTAAAGTAAATAGAGGTAGCCTATGATAAAGTTACAAGTTGTTTTTACCCAAGACAGAGCACCATGCCACACTGCCAAAAAAACACAGGCTTGTCTTGAAAAGAATATGCTGAATTTCTGACCAAATAACTGGTGGCTTCCTCACTCACTTGATGTTAATCCTCTGGACTCAGTGTGGGCTAAATTTTAGTAAGATGCTTGTGCAAAGTTCCACCCAATCACTAAAGCTTATAAGATCTCTTTTGCCAAGGCCTGGGATTGTATTTCCAGCAATAATATCCAGAAGACGTGCCATGGATTTAGAGGATTTAAATTAAAAAAATTGTTGAGAAAGAATCTTTTTTAATAAAATTACTTCAGACATGTTAGAAAACAATTTTTTTCATGATAAAAAATTTGTCATTTCTTTTCTATTTAGATAGTGTACTGAGTACTACCTGTGCTTTAAGTTAAGGTTTTTTAACAAATTTAAAAAATG